TTGCCTCTAATATCTCCTTGTTTCTTTTAATAATGTTTATGTATTGCTCTTTGCTATTAGCATTTGAAGATTTTTCAGCATTAACTTTGAAATGGAATCACAACTCATTTATCTTGGAATGTGTGCTGAGAAGTGATCAATTGTAGCATCACTTTATTGATGGTGTTTTGAAAGTCTTCCAGAAAAACCTCTTTGCCTTGTTCTGTAGTTCATTCTGATGGGATTGATTTATGCTAAATATATGTCCTTGGGTTCCACAAGAGCTGCATTTTAAATGGTTGGCATCTTCCTATTCTTCATTGGCATTAATAATAATAAAAAAAAGGATAATGTTGCTCAAGAAAATACTACAGCCATTAGCAGAATTTAATTATTCAGAGAAGTACAACGGAACCGTTAATAAGACACTGTAATGACATTAAACACCACCCACAAAACAGGAACATTCTTATACTCCCGTGCAGATTTCACAGACTCGTTTGTGGTAAGAAAGAAAAATATTGAACACAAAATCTGCTTAATTATGAAGCAAAAGTGATTTCAAATTAAGAGAGGAAATAAAATTTCTGAAAGAGGGTGGAATAGTAAAATACTGTGTTCTTCTTATATTATTTTATATGTAACTTTCATTAATCCCATGGCAGAAAAATTTCCAGGGGCAAGACAGACCTTTGTAAGCCTCAGGTTAAAGTTTCCCTCTTTAATGAGTGAAAACCAATGAACTCTAGAAAAAATTTTAAAAAGAAGAATCAAAATAATCAATATGACAAAGCAAATGTACGCAGAATAGCTGCAAATGGTTTATTGGAATAACAGTGCAATTGCATTTAAAAATCTAGACACATCTCTGGGGAGACAAACCTGTGTCAGATGTAAAAAGATACAAATTTTAAAATTATTTTCAAGTATTTAATGAAACCTCTCAACTGAAACAGGCTTGCTAAATTATTTATTGAAAAATCTAATTACTACATGTAGCTCTTAGAGCTTGGATTTAGTCTTTCTGAAGTGACCCACATATCTCTCAGAGAACAGGATATCAGAAGAATTCCAAAGATTGCAGAAATTGCTAAGAGATATTAAAGAAGAAATTTCATCTTTCCATGTAATATCAACTGCATAATTTTCCCCTGATCTACATTATGGGGGAAGCAATAAATGTTGTATATTAAGAGACAAAAAATAAATATATTTTATCTTGTTCCATGAATGTTCAGGCTTCTGAAATTCATGAAGGACAAAACACTTTCAAGAAACCATTACTAGGGATCACTAACTTCCTCCTCTATAGATGTTTTAACATGAAGTAACGTTTTTCTAAGTATAATTTGTTGACAGAAGTTTCTCACTTTCAGAAAGCATAAGTTCAAGCAGACAAATAGAACAATGGACATCTTTTCCTGGTGTTGGACTTGTTCTCCTGGAAGGTACTGTGGTGTGTGCAATGCCAGTAAGAGGGAGAGTCACCCCACTGTTAGTCATGATGCCTGGAACTCTGCTTAAAGAAGGTGATCTTCTTCATGAAAACTGGACTTGTTGTGCTGCCTTTCCTTACATCTTGGGGAAAAATACGTGTATATGTGTTTGCAAGAAGGCAAAGAAAGGGAGGAACTACTCTAAAAAGTAACAATTAGTTGGAAGAAAGATACTTGTCAGAAGTGAGTTCTGGGAAAGAATCTGAAAAAGCTAAAAAAGCTGAAATGGTCAAGCAGAGTGTTTTTCTATAATCCAGTGAATGTATCATTTAAGACATTAATTGCCAGTGAGAAAAAGAGACAATAGAAAGAGAACAATGTATGATCATGTGTAAATCACTGAGTCACATTCAAGCATCATAATCACAGGTAAGTTACAGGTTCAAGAAAATACTGTATTTCCAAGATATCAGTATCTCCAAGATATCTATAGAGGCAGTGATATTATTTACAAAATAGATTTTTTGGTTTTTACTCTTAGAAATGTGCCTATTTTAATGATAGATTCCCTTATTAGCAATCTGAACAGGATTTCTACAATGTCCTACCACCAATCAGGAGAGGAACAGAGAAAATGTCTGTGTTTCTGGAGCCCACTGCTGTGCATGGCTGGACTGAGAAGGGAAGGGAGCACAGGCTACTGCTATACAGAAACACAGAGAGAACAAGTAGGAAAGCCCATGCAGAACACAGAGAGAACAAGTAGGAAATCTCCTGCAGCACTCAGAGGAAATACAGGTGTCCCAGAATACAGAAATGGATTTTTCAGGGAAAAATCAATATACTTTTAAAAGCCAGGTTGGAAAAGATGAAGACGTGTCCTCAGCAAGCTGCTGCCAATGGGCTGTGCTACAGAACACCATTTACTTTTGCTTCCCTGCTGTTAGGTATTGCAGGTGTTCTGTTATGCCTGCATTTTCATATCCTGCCTTTAACATAATTTGTCTGATTTTATATCATTATTTTTTTATATTAGTCCCAGGAAATGCATTAACTGCCCTGCTAGTTTAATATTTCCTCCATGCTACAGGAAGACAATTTTCTATATTTTGTGCAAGGATTAAAATATTCACTCAAAGTTCTTGCTCATATATATTTAAGGACAGTATTTTTCTACCTGTAGAGTGGTGGCAGTTTTTCCTAGAAATACATCTTCCATGTGGGAAATCTTAACTTCTAGTACAATAAATGCACTGACAGCCACCATAAAGTATGAACAAGACAGATACCAAGTGAGGGAAAACTATAAGAGGCCAGGTATTGTGCTTAATTTATGGAGACAAACTGTGGTTATTAACAGCTTCTAAATCCCAGTAAAAGCTCGTTATGCCCAGTTAGTTATACTTTCCATTCTCTTTAGAAATGCAGTAATCCAGATACTAAAGGAGCCATTCTTCCATGTGCTAGGAAAATTTAAGCAAGAAAGTGAAAGGACTGATGGTTATTGGCACTAGTGTAGACATTTAGGAATTCAAGAGTCCCTCTGAGGAGCTGAACCTGTGTCAATTGTGAAAGGAAAGGGAGTTGTGAAATAATTTCATTCCTATAATGAAATTGCTGACATGAAATCTCCCAGTTGCTGAATTATTTAGAGGAGGAAAAAGTAGTAAGTAAAATCTGCTTTTGTCATTGCTAAAATAATTGCTTCTGTATTTTCTACTTCCACATTTTTCTCTGGAGGCTTTTTATATGGACAAGTGGACTTTCACTATGTATAGGCTTTTAGCAATTTCTTTTATGAAATAAGTCATACAGAAGGAAATAATTAAGATGGTCAACAGATTAAACCTTATGCAATGCCCAGGAGCAGCAGCCACTTAATCTTTTTGGGAATGTACATTTTATGTCAAGGAGACCTGTGTGGGTGTCTCAGACAAAGTTCTTCTCTTTTTGAACTCACATAGACCAAATGGACCGTGCTATAGGACTTTCAAACAAAAAACTAAAGTCCAAGTCTACACTAGAGCAAGCTGAAATGTCAGAGGAGAGCTCATGCTTTTAAATGAATGCCTCTTTTGTTTAGTCAGGTTTTGCCTAAGTGTAGCTTATGGGTGTAATTTCCTTGTGGTAATTTGGTTATAGCACAAAGAGAGCCTCCTGAAGGCTTTTTCTCCAGGTTTGGAAAATGACTTCACTGCAGTCACACATGTTTAAGTTCAGCTGCTTTCCAGAATTTGCATAGTTTTACCAGAACAATGGGAAAAATCAATTATTGCAAGATCCCTTTTAAACTTAACGTGACACTAAGGGGTAACAATTGCTTCTGCCCGTATGTGTTTGTAAAAAAATATTGATTGTGAATTTTCCTTTTGTGTTCATGCATCAGTGTTTATTACTCACTGAATTTGCAATTTTCGTCCACTGTTACGCTAACAAATTTCTTCAATGAGGTACTGTCGACAACTCTTTTTTTAATGTGGTTTTCCATCTCCTGGGCATTGAGCCTTTATACTTTCACACCTCAAACTCTCAACTTTTTCATTTCAAGACCTAACTCCTCATCTATCTGCTGATTTTAATCTGTCTCTGTAAAGCCTTATTGCACATCTAACTCTTACAGTGTCATTTTTTTTCCCTAGTGATTAACCAAAGGATTTTCAGTGGAACTACAGCAAATAATGAACAGTAAACATTTCTGGGAATATAATGAGAATACAGATATTTATACGGGACTGAGCCCTCAGAGACGATAAAGTTAACTCTTGGCAGAATTCTGGCAGTGAGAGAGACTTTGCATGGTATGACTCCAGCTATTCAAAAGAGAACAAAACACGGCTGTGGGAAATTGCAAAACATTGACGGCCAATCAGTTGTCATTTCTGATAAGTTATATATCATAGTTAGAATTTTAAAAAACAGTAAAAAATATTCCTAATTATGTTTCTTATCACATATTCCTTTGGTGTGAAGATGGGAAGAAGAAAAGGCCTTGAGACTGTGTAAGCACTGCTCAGTTATAGCTAAAACATCCCCATGTTACCAAGCACAGATCCCTCTGTTTCCAACACAAAACCAAAATGTAGCCCCATACTAGCTGCTGTGGAGAAAATTAACTCTACCTCAGCCAAAACCAGCACATAGGTATTCTCTTTCAGTGAAAGAAATAATGCTTCAAAGAACCATTCTGAAGAGGAAGCTGCACTGAGTAAAAGGTTTGCTGTGACATATGAGCTGATATGGAAAGCAAGGTGGTCAGGGATTATGAAAAAGGCAACATTCTCCTCAATTAGCCTCAACCGCAAATAAACTGCAGAAATTCCTGTGTTAAGTATGACCAAAAAAAAAAAAAAAAAAGAACATAAAACTTTGGAGCTTTGGTTTAAAGGTTTGGTTATGATTCTGCAATAGACTTTGGGTAAGGGGCTAGGACAAAAAAGAAATTTTCTTGAGATGGAAATTTGTAAGTTGACGAGATTTTAGAATGAGACTGGATGTGGTGAGCCAGACTGTTCTTTCCAGTCTTGTTTGGTTATGCATCTGCTGTTTACCCTGACAGTTACCTGACTGCTTGTCTTTAATTCTCAGGTCTTAAATGAGGGCCATTTATTAAGTTTGAAATGTCTTCAACACTTTAATGAATCTAAAAGAGTCTTGCAGAACTGAGACAACCAGGAAGCATTTCATTTCATGCTCAGGTATGTTGAAAATGGCAATGTATGACAAGTTTAAACAGCTACAGTTTTTCTTCCTGTTTTCTACTATTGTAAATATGAGAGAAATGATTTATGGGCTATTTCTTAACATCAATGTACAGCCTTATATCACCATTTGGCTTTCTTACAATATCTGAAGTGGTGAAGGTTGTTCAAGTAGACCAGTCAGTGAGTTGTGATTTACCATCTCTTTTTCATTGAAATGCTATGCCAGGGTAATGCAGCATAACAGCTCCCTCATACCCTGCCTTAATCATTACTTGATGTTGCATGAAGTCATAGTAACAACAAGTCCAAATTCAATATCTGTTGGCTTCCTCATAGCATACTAAGTGGCTGATGATTTTTAGCTGTTAGAAGTTCTTCTGCTTTCCTTTTATCCCATGAGCTAGAAGCTTTTCCGATTCTTTGTTCTAAGATATTTGTGGTTTGGGACATTGGCATTTCCAGCTTCACATTTGATCTGATGTGACTGACTATAATGTGGATCTGGCTTTGTGACTGGTGAACTGGTGGCCTAAAATTAATTTTTCATAAGTGAAATGAAATATGCCTTTGTAAAATGAAATTCATGTAAGGCAACAGCAGCTAAGATGAAACATGCCCTAAAACTATCTATATACCTCCTTCATACTGTCAATTACAAGAAGAACCTCTGGCAATGAGGTCAGAGGTAGAAATCTACAGTTTAGGTATTTAAATAAGGTCAGTCTATACCACATATAACATGAATCTGTGAAGTTTAATATGTAGGTTGCCTTAATATCTGTCAATTCCATCAGAAACTTCTGACATCTCTGTATCTGGCTTCCATCTGTGTGTACAGTCTCATTTCCAATAGCTTTTGGCCTTTTGCTTACCACCAAATGACTTCAGGCCTCAACTTATTCAAGGGACAGAATTTTCTTCTCATTCTGTGACTTCTGTGAACACTTTTCATTTTGTCCTTTTCAGATTTTTAACTGCTTCCTTCTTAGAAGAACAAAGAAATCTCCCACAGACTGAGAGCTAACAGCCAATATACTGGAGCAAAGTGCAGTGTCTGCTCCCATTTGCTTAATTGTGGCTCATGACAGCTTCCAAGAGATCCCCTTTCCTCACCAGGAAGTTCTGGAGCACCACTCACTTATTTAAAAATGTTTCTCTATTTGAGGCTGTGTCACAAAGAGGTGATAGAACCTTTTTGTATCCTTGATTACCATTGAGCCATTAGGGAAATCCCTACCAAACGGAACGAAACAATGCAGAGCAGAAATTTTCACGCAATTTTTGGTTGATATTATTGCACAGCCTGTTCAGTGACAACTGTGAGATTATTTGGAATAATATTTTACTGTACTGTCTGTACAGTAAAATATAATGCAAACAATAGTCATAGTCATCCCTAGATGACACCCAAGGTGTTATATCAGGCAGGTTCCCCAAAATTACAGCAAGCAAGATGCCGGCTTATATTCTCTTCTTGAAAGGAGGTCCCCTTGTTTCACTACTGCATCAGTCCAGTGCTTCAATGCTGTTTTTTATCATGCCAGAATGTTACATGTAACATTTTATTGTGCTTTACATTCAAAATACACCATCATTCTGGACTTGGTTAGGGTATAATATCAATTTTTACAACAATTTAACACATTTTGTCACATAGATCTAAACTAAAGAGCTGCTTCTTTTCTGTTTTCTGGCATACTAACATCTCTAAAAGTAAACAGCATGTCCATAGTTTGCTGTTCATAACTAAACTATAATCAGTCTGTGAGATTCAGGCATTTAAAGCCAGTTTTGTCATTTTCTTCAGTTTACTTGTTTATACTGTAGCTCATCAGTTAAGGCAATTTCAGTCTGTGATAGAGATCATTACTGAATGTTATTCTCTGGTGTTTCATTGCCAATCCTCTGTATGACACACACCAACTATGCTATAACCTTTCTAAAGGAAACTTAATTTTACAGTTCTGTAAACATTTTTTATTCTAAAATAATACTTCTTCAATTATTTTACCAGTTATTAAATTATTTAATTGTTATTAAATTATTTTACTTATTATTTTTGATATATTGGCTTTTGCATTTACATTTCCAAGTCTTAGGTAGTTTTTTTTTCTTTGTAGTTATTCTTAGTTTGAAAGGCTCTACTATTTTTAATCAAAATAAAGAAAAATGATGGGCATTCCCCTAATTGGAGAAAATATTGTACCATAATTGAATAAACTCTTACAATGCCTTGCCAGAGCACTGATGCAGGGGTCATTTACATGACTGATGCTGTCTCTCAAAGATGCTGAGAGATTCATAGGCTTCATTAGATTCCAGGGAGGGCCTGTACCAGAGATTCCCTACTTGATTAGGAGAGATGCATTGTTCCATCTGGCAAAAAGAGGCAGTGATGTAAGTGAGAATAAAGGGCAAGAACTTTACTCCGTTGAAGAAAATAGACAAAAGGGTAAATATCTAGATACATCTGCCTTGTCAGTTCAACACAAAAGGGCAGGAGAACTGGAAACCTTCAAATGAGTTTCTATCGACCAAAGGAATAGCATAGTCTCATTAAAAGGAGTGGCACGGGAAGATGCAAAGCTGCCCAGGGGCTTCTAACTGTTCTAGTACTATTTGTTCACCCTTTATTTAACACCACCATTAGAAAGCCTAATGGACTGTTTATATCAGACTGTTAGACACATGGCAAGATCTTTAGTAATTGGAGTGTGATATATAGTAATGGGTTATTGTTTGCTTGGTGCTACCTACATTCAGGCCAGTGCTGAATATTTATTTACTGCAGATTCCAGATATAAAGGCAGAGGTGATAGAGGTGCCAGAGAAAAATGCTAGGGTGAAAACAGGCTTTCCTGAGGCCCTGCAAGCTGAAACATTAGCTGCTTGTTTTATCTGGATTTTTTTACACAGCATGGTGGGTTATTTGATAAAATCAGCTTGAGGCTATGCTTAGATCGTGTTTCCTCAGAACACTGTCTGGAAGGCTGTGCCAGACTGTAGTGTCATTAAATATATATTACAAATGCTCCAACAAATTAGGTAATTAATTAAAATACATTTCTGTAGGAGAGGCCATTTGATATTGCTATTCTTCTCATGGTAGATTAAGTTTGATGATGCTGTATTTATGATATTCTTTCTGTGCCATTAAAACCTATTACAGGCTTTGGAGAAAGCATATTTGAAAGCAAGGGTTTTTGTCAGGTATCAAATACATTTGTGAAGTCAAAAACACATTAGCAATGTTAAATTTTCTTTCATTTCTTCTAGAAAATAAATACTGAATGTGTAGGACTGAAGATAAAGCAATAAAACTCTTACAGAGGAATTGAAAAACTCCAACAAAACAACCAAGAACACTCTTCCCACTCCACAGTCCTGATTTTTGTCAGACTAGCCTTTGTGCCTCTCTAGAGTGTGAGTACATTGTAGGCTTAGCTGGGTTTTGTATTTGCTGTAGCAACATAATGCAAATAAACAAAGTATGAAGGACATCTAGCCCCAAGTGCTAGCCACAATTAAAAACTCCCAAACTGTTGTCAATGTTTGTTTTCTAACTTTTATATTGAAATCAAGTAATGGTGTACACACAGCAGAAAAATTCCTGTAAGGAATCCAGAGCACGTTCTTGATGCCCAGCTCTGTGCTGGGGGGGCTGTGGGGCTGTGTCTGCAGGAGGAGGTTGGGCAATTTCTTGTGCAGGGTGGGGAAACAGTTGTATTCCTTTGGGAAAGACCAACGCAGGCTGCCAGCAGGGCTCCCTCGTGAGAAAGAAGACCAAACCCTGAGGAGCAGCCCCTACTTTTATTTCTTAAATAAGATGATGGCATTTCCTGTCTTTTGAGTAATGAAGAAAAATACTGTAGAATTTTGTGCAAGTAATCTTCAGTTTATTTTAGTATGCCACCGCAATATCTATGCAGAACAATAGGCTGTCTATAGATGCCAGGCTTCAGACATACAATTTGGAGAACCTGATTCTTCTTTCAGAGCAATTTAATCTCATTTCCTGCCATGAGATTTCAGCTGATAGATATGCAATAATTAAAAGGTCACGTATGCCTAGAAATTCCTGAAGTGTAGTATCCATAGGGATTTTGCCTAGGAATAAAGGGCAGCAAAGCAATGAAAATGATTCTCTTGAAAGTGAAAAATAGATTTTTTTCACTAATCAGTGGACAGACAGGAACAATCAATACCCAATCTAAAGAAGAAAAATCAATACCACTCAAAACACATGGTTCCTCTTTTGCACAGGTTATCCTACTATAACATTTTTTAATCCCATGTCTTGGAAAATTCCAGTACATTTGCATATAAATTCTCTTCCATCAACAATGTCCAATTCCCTCTCCCAGGGAATTCCCTCTCCCTGTGGAAAAAGATAAGAGAAAACATACACCATTGCTTCCACTTCTACCACAATTTATAAAGAAGAACTGGTCAAGTGTTATTATAGCAATCATACTCCATAATGATTATTCCATCCCTTCATAATAATGTAGTATAAAGGTTCTGCTGTTTATTAATTCCTTTTTATTGAAATATTGACATAAAATACAAATTTCTTATCAATAATTTTTATAATATGATATCAAAGTTATAATAATTGTTAAATAGCTGAACAAAACCAATTCCTGATAAAGCAAGTATAGTGAAGGGACTTACAACAGCAAATTACTGTTCAATAAAATAGTATGAAAAGCAAGACTGTTAATAAAGATGACAGCTACTGCCCACTGTATACAGGAAAAGAAGAAATTTGAAAATCGAAATCAAATTAACCTTATTATTTTCTCAGGGAATATGTGTAACTAGGAGCCTCAGTAAGAACTTACTCCCATTTGCCACACAGTCCAATGGCACTGAGCAAACAGAAATAATTCTCCAGGTTTTATGAGCTTTCTTTGCTACAGTTCATCAACACAGTGAAAATTTTATTGTGGATCTAATTGACATGAACTGAAGGTAACAGGTTGGCTTAAAAAACAATTGCAATTGGGATATATTTTCCCTTCCATGAAGACATCACTGTGTGCATTTTTGCCTAAAACATGCTTCACTCAAAAGCATTTACTGTTCTTGACAGCTGAAGGAGCAGAGGGTGGACAATTTATTGCACAGCTCATTGCAACCATGATAATGAAAAATAAATTCAGATACTCACAACCAGAGAGTTATAGAATCAGTCCATCCTAAGGTCAACATGAAATCCAAATCAGTTCACTAGAAGTTTGCTCATAGTGTTATTTGTTTTTATCACCACGGTTGTCTGCCCCGCAAAACATCTGGTAAAGCACATGTTACATCAAGGTAAGGAAATTCTCAACCTTCTGGATAAACAGCTCTCAGACATATAGTTCTTGTCATGGTAAAGTGGATGAGTTATTTATAAAATTATACATTTATCATAAGGAATATCTGAGAGAGATGTAGAAATTAATTTCCAATTGCTGACATGAAGCAAGGAACTGAAAAGACTCATAAGTGTTTTCAAAAGAAGGCATTTCTTAATAAAAATAATTTAAAAAATAGGATAAATTTCAGATCTAAACATTTTCATATCTTTGCAGCATATTTCTACAGAGCAGAAGCACAGAAAAAAATTGAGAGGGTAAGGAAGTTCGTGAAACTGTGGTACTAAAATGTGAGAAATGTTTGGACCATGCATCACTGATTCTAGAATTGAGGTGATACATAGGTCAGTTTAAGTTTGCATTGCATAGATCAAGAGAGGTAGCAAATGCAGAATTCTCTAAGAAATAGAATTGTGCAAAATAGCGGGTGGGGTTTTTTTGTTTATTCTATGCCTGAATTCCTGAATTCTATATGCAGTAATTTTATGGATTTTATTGGATGGGATAAGTGGTAGCCTGATGCTGATGACATTTGTATCCAGGGCAGATAGGCAATGATGTCACATCTGCAATAAGTAGAACAGAACAGATTTTGTACCAAGGATTAATGTGATTTATAGCTTTCATGATGCTGACAACCTTGGACTGGATGGCAGGTAAAGTGCACATTCAAACTTGACTCCTCAACATGGAATTCTCTAGACTTGAGCACACAAGAGTGGGAAAAGGATGACTTTGTGAATTTAACTTGACCTAGAAGCAGACTTTTGAGCCCCTTTTTCTTCAGATATAGTTGCTCAGGTTATTCAGTTTCCCAAGGGCTGCTGACTGTGGGGTAAGTGAGAAACAAGCTGTTTAGAAAGGTTCAAATTTAGTTTATCAGGTTCATAGATAATATGCTCAGTAATGGTGTGAATTACTCTTTTGTTTATCCTAGAAAAGGTTCCTCACACAGACTGAATATGCCTGTTTATGCCACTGACACCCAGCACATAAACCTTTCCTTCTTCTGATCCCAAATTTATCTGTGCACATGAATTCCTCACATAATATGTGTTAATGTGAGAATTATGCATGAAGTTTTTGTCTGCTGTTTGAGCAGTATCCTCTAGCTGGGAATAAAATGAGTCTAATAAACCCTTCTGCAAAATATGGTGGTGTGCAGCTGTGACTAGCACAGCACAGCAGACATGTTTACATAATTATAGGGAGCTTTCCTTCTTGCTTAAGAAGATTTGAAATTTCTGGTTCCTTGTACTCAGAACACTGTCAGATCTGCAGCATGGATTGGCTGACTTCATTGGCCAACATGTTAGAGCATAGCAAGCATAAAAGCAAATCTTCTCTGCCAAAAAAAGATGGAGACATGTCATCACACCTGGTGTCTTGATGATGTTCTGCAGAAAGCACCAGCCACAGCATGATGGGATTGCAACTACTGATTCAGATACAAGAAAAAAGGGAAGAAGCAACAGAGCTCATCTGACAAAGAAAAAGAATGGTATTGACTAATTAATACACATCTCCTGCCATGAGCATGTTATTAGGGTGTTTGACAGTGACACTTGCTGAAATTTCATAGACTAGACTGCAGGAGCAGGTGCAAAAAAGATCTTGGTGAAAATATGGGAATTTCAATGAGATTGATTGATTGATTGATGGAATATGTAATATGCTGTGCTATTCCTGCTAATAAAAAAAAGAAAGTTAAAACAGGGAGGTGGAGGGAAGGCATAAAAAGCAATGTCTTGAAACGTTCTGCAACAAATTACAGGAGTTGAAAGAAGCAAAAAGTTACACATAAGTTGGTCCAAGATAAAGGAAAAGGTACATTTTTCTGTAAGTTCTGTGAAAAAGAAAAATTGGCATTTTATACATTATTTATTTGCATCTAACAGAAGATGCCAACAAGTTGGTTTTAAATTCTTTGTTTAGTCAATATATTATTCAGTCTGGGTTTATGTTATGTGCTGGTGGTATTTTAATTTTATTGTAATGTGCTTGTAACATCACTGGAGCTCCCAGGGTTCACATAAAGAAGAGAAAAACTGGCTTTTCCTTTTCTTCAGTATTTGGTTACTCCCACCTCTGTGCTAAACTAGATCAAAAGAAGACAGTTGTTGTAACCTCTTTAATGAGATTTATAGTCACTGAAGCATATGGTTTTCTTCTGGATAAACCTTCTTCCTTACTCAGCCATTTCACTTATCGACTTTTAACAGCTTTTCCCAATCTTCTGAAATGAGAGTCTGCTGCATGTTAAAAAAGGCCTGTGCACTTTAATATTCAATGAAAGTTTTCAAATATAGAATGCAGTTTTAACTGTGTTTTTAAGAAAAATATCACACTTCTATATTAAGGAAGGATCTGTGCTGAATTTTGTTTGGGGATTTGAAATGAATACAGATCATTCCTTTTTAAGTACAGCATAATGTTGCTGAACCGCGACCTTTCAAGTGTTTGCTATTCTACTTTTACCAAGCCATAGGGTTTTTGGATCTGTTTACTCCTTAGAAAGTTTTGAATTTCCTACTAGGTTTCTTGTTCTTAGTTCCTTGAATGGGAAGAAGGGGAGCAGAGAGAAGGAATGGTATCTTCATTATAAACCTTAATTCTGACAGTCCTTGTAAATTATTAAGATGACGATATTTAAATTAAACAGATATTTAAATTTCAGAGCTTGTAAAAAAATATAGAAGGAGTTTTATTATTTCTCAATAAATATGATTAACATTTGGCACAGAAAGTAAAGAAAATCTTCCTGCATTAAATAAGTTTATTGGATAAGAGATGCAGAAGGGAAGATGGCATCTTTGTGAAAGTATCACCAAATTATCAGCACAAAAATTAAAACAACAAAATTTTTGTGGTTAACCTACATTTTGCTTTCTATTGCAGCACACATGCAACAGGAGGAAGCTCATGTTGAGTAAGGCAGAACACAGGAAAAGTCAAAAGCTGGGATCATCCATTAAGACAATTTCAGGGAGCAATAGAGATAATACTTATTCATGGGGACAAGTGAAACTGGGCACATGGGAAGGGTGACAACAGTGACCCGTTGAGATGTTTCTTCCTGCGCTGGATTCAAGAGCCTCATGAATTTGATTCCAGAACACTGGCATTGACGGGGCAAAAAAAACTGTTTCATAAATGTAGATCCATTTTTTCCCCCGTTATCATCAGAAAGTTTCTATCTTAGAGAACATAATTTCATGTACTTCAGAAGACAATCAAAACAATTCTATGGAACAAAGCTTTGGAAAACATCTCATGTATCATTTTGGAATGTGGCAATAAATTCTGAGGAAGAGTATCTGAGTGGCGCTCTATTTCCCAGTGGAGAAGGTCTTAAATATTAATGGCTACACTGCAGTTTGTGATTGATATTTAACAGCAGAGGACATGCTCTTGAAACTGTAAGTTAGTCATCTGAGCTTTCGG